GTAAACACCAAGCAATGCGATTTATTCGAGAAACTGGATTAAGCCGAGCGAGAAAGTTCCGTTGTCGTCGAAAGCGCCCCGCATTAACATGCGCCTGTCCTCCTTGATTGAAACCGTCACAGAGATACCTTGAATTAGAATATCTTCGTTTTGCTACTTTTTCTACAACATTGTGAAATTTCAAAATTCCTTTCGTACATGGGAGTTGTACGGAATATCGAAGAGAAGGTAACAATTTACAGTTTCACTCGAAACTGCTTAAAATTATTGTTGAGGATTCCTTGGGTAGGAAGATTCGACAAAATGGCGGATGAGTGACATGATGGTTGTAACGAAAACTGTGATGGAATTATTTAAATGAATATAAAATTATTTACTTCGTTAATTATTATTTGATTAGTGTATTATTGTTTTTAGTATTTTATTATCGTATGGAGGTTTTTTCATTTATTGAATAAAAATTTTGTGGCTGCGATTTTGGCGGGAAATGCAGCTGATTAGGTTAGGATTATGAAAGTATGTGAACCTGTAAAGTAAATTTGAATTAAATAGAATGAAAATAAAACTATGAACCTTATTGTTATAAAACTCATGAACTATAAAGTGTAATAAAAAACTGACAATAACAGAATGGTTATTTAATCAACATCACTGAACGTGTATTTTTTAAACACAGATCGATCGCTTTCAAAATGCAATTCCACGAAACCAATCTTCGCCGCAAGGTGTAAGAGAAAAATGTCGAAATAGTTGCAAAATCCTGGGAACTTTCTTGTAGAAGAAACGCAACAACTGACAGAAATGCGAATCGATGATGTAAGGAAATAAATGTCAAATCGTTGGTTGAATCGTCTGTGTGAAGTCCTATCGAAGTCTACGAAATCATTTTCACCGACGAAAATTCTGTAGACGGACCAAGGTTAAGGAAACGTTTTTAATTGGACGATGTTGAACGAAAGATATTCTGTTAGATTATATCATGGTCAGTATGGACTTGATCCTAATGGACTTTCTATTCGTGGTAGCCGAAAACTCGTAATACGTAACAAACGGTTTCTCTAGAAATTTAATATATCTTTTAAATATTATGAATTTTTAAGTTTATGAATTTCTAAATTCCTACTTTTTTGAATTTCTGGGGTTTTATATTTACAACGAGTTTCTGTATTTGTAAAATTTATAAGTTTCTAAAATTTCTGGGATCACAAAATTTACATCTTTCTACAATTTTTAAGTTCACAAAATTTACAAGTTTATTTCCTAAGATTACAGATTTCCAAATCCTCAAGTTTGTATATTTATAAAATTCACGAGCTTCCAAATTTCAAAAATTATTAATTTGTAATACACCCAAGAACTCAAAAATCAAACGTAAGAACTTGCAGACCTCATACTTTCAAATTACATACTCATGCACTTGATATATATGAAATTCAGCTAAGCAACCATAAATCCACCATAATTCCCAAACCCCTAGATTCTCAAATCCCTAAATTTTCATCTTGCTAAATTTCCACCTCCCTAAATTTCCAAATCCCTCAATTTCCACCTCTCTAAATTCCCAAATCCCTAAATTTTCACCTCTCTAAATTCTCAAATCCCTAAATTTCCACCTCGTTAAATTTCCACTTTCCCAAATTTCCACCTCGCTAAATTTCCACTTCCCTAAATTTCCAAATCCCTAAATTTCCACCTCTCTAAATTCCCAAATCCCTAAATTTCCACCTCCCTAAATTTCCAAATCCCCAAATGTCCACCTCTCTAAATTCCCAAATCCCTAAATTTCCACCTGGTTAAATTTCCACTTTCCTAAATTTCCACCTCGTTAAATTTCCACTTTCCCAAATTTCCACCTCGCTAAATTTCCACTTCCCTAAATTTCCAAATCCCTAAATTTCCACCTCTCTAAATTCCCAAATCCCTAAATTTCCACCTTCCTAAATTCCCAAAACTCAAAATTCCCAAATCCCTAAATTCCCAAACCCCTAAATTCCCAAATCCCAAAATTCTCAAAATCCCAAATTCTCAAATCTCCAAATCCTCAAAATTCCCAAAATTCTAAAAATTCCCAAAGTCCCCCAAATTTCCAAAATCCCCAAAATTCTCAAAAACCTCAAAATTTTCAAATCTCATCATTCTCCACCTCCTAAATTTCCAAATCCCTAAATTTCCACCTTCCTAAATTCCCAAAACTCAAAATTCCCAAATCCCCAAATGCCCACCTCTCTAAATTCCCAAGTCCCTAAATTTCCACCTCGCTAAATTTCCAAATCCCTAAGTTTCCACCTTCCTAAATTCCCAAATCCCTAAATTTCCACCTCGCTAAATTTCCAAATCCCTAAGTTTCCACCTTCCTAAATTCCCAAATCCCTAAATTTCCACCCCTAAATTTCCAAATCCCTAAATTTCCACCTCCCTAAATTTCCAAATCCCTAAATTTCCACCTCTCTAAATTCCCAAATCCCTACATTTCTACCTCGCTAAATTTCCACCTCCCTAAATTCCCAAATCCCTAAATTTCCATCTTCCTAAATTCCCAAAACTCTAAATTCCCAAATCCCCAAATGTCCACCTCCCTAAATTCCCAAATCCCCAAATGTCCACCTCCCTAAATTCCACTTAATACTATTTAATCCACAGGTATCTCATAGATTACATAACTTGTTTACATTTTACTCGACATATATAAACATCGTACATCATCCTTGTACATCTTAACATTCCTAGAGAAATTTCCTAAGAAACACTTCCTTGCAATGTCAAACATTTCGAGACATATCAATGAAAATTTTTTTGGTCACGACTGCAGACAGTCATCGTCCATCACATGCTATATAAGCTTCCATATTGTCATTGTACCGATCCGTACGTGAGCTATCTGGCCATCAAAATTCGTCGAATCCGTGCAGGTGCGACTGTTTTCGTACACAGACAGCGTACATTGTATGGTCGTACGATTTGCAGAATACTGACCGATCGTAACGTGATTATAATAATAATAATCGTAAGGCCAAGCGGTTAGGCGATATAAAATAACGGAGAAGGCTGGAAGGGGGCGAAGGTCGAGCACGAGCAACGTGACTCACCGTGACACCCAGTCCTGATACACCACCCTGTTCAACATTCCGACAGAGGTTAACCAACAGATACCAGTTAGCGATCGCTAACTCGATTCTAGACTACCGATCGACCAAATATAGACCTAACGACGGACGACGTTTTGCTGTTTCAGAATTCAGGGTTCAGGGATTTAGGTGTTTCAGGGGTTTAGGAATTCGGTTCTTGGGAATTTAGGAGGTTTGCGAGGTTGGAGATTTGGAGAATTTGGGGAGTTTGGGAATTTTGGAAAATTTAGAAATTTGGGAGTTTGGGGATTTGAGAAATTTGGGAGTTTCAGGGTTTGGGATTTCAGGTTTCAGAATCTGAGAGTTTTGGAAATTTAAAAAATTTGGGAGTTTCAGGGTTTGGGACTTCAGGTTTCAGAATTTGGGAGTTTGGGAAATTTGAGAAATTGGGAGAATGTAGAAATTTGGGAGTTTGGGAGTTTGGGACTTCAAGTTTCAGAATTTGGAAGTTTAGGAAATTTGAGAGATTTGGGAGTTTAGGAGTTTGGGACTTCAGGTTTCAGAATTTGGGAGTTTGGGAAATTTGAGAAATTGGGAGAATGTAGAAATTTGGGAGTTTGGGAGTTTGGGACTTTAAGTTTCAGAATTTGGAAGTTTAGGAAATTTGAGAAATTTGGGAAATTTAGAAATTTGGGAGTTTGGGAGTTTGGGACTTCAAGTTTCAGAATTTGGAAGTTTAGGAAATTTGAGAGATTTGGGAAATTTAGAAATTTGGGAGTTTAGGAGTTTGGAACTTCAGGTTTCAGAACTTGGGAGTTTGTTGAGAGATTTGGGAAATTTAGAAATTTGGGAGTTTAGGAGTTTGGGACTTCTGGTTTCAGAACTTGGGAGTTTGGGAAATTTGAGAGATTGGGAGAATGTAGAAATTTGGGTGTTTGGGAGTTTGGGACTTCAAGTTTCAGAACTTGGGAGTTTGGGAAAGAGAAATTTGGGGAATTTAGAAATTTGGAAGTTTGGGAATTTGGGACTTCGAGTTTCAGAATTTGTCAGTTTGGAAATTTAGAAAGAAGAAAGATTAGGAACATTAGAAACTTATGAAAAGGCTTAGTAATTTACTACACAACTATAAATCCACATATCCACATGTTACCACAAGTGATCATCCACATATGACTCCACAAGTGATCCACATGTGACTCCACAAGTCATCCACATATCCCAAAAAATTCCTCCAAAAATTCACAATCCTTGTATCCATAAAAAATATAACTATCCACATGTTTCCATAAGTGATCATCCACATATGACTCCTCAAATGATCCACATGTGACTCCACAGGTCATCCACATACCCCAAAAAATTCCTCTAAAAATGTACAATCCCTTCTATCAAAAATATTCTAACAGAAGCTTGAAAACTATCCAACTCCTTTGGTAGTAGCGCAGGTCTAATCAGAATGCTTTCAACATCCTCTAGAATCCCCAAAAGGAACAAAACCATTGCGATAAAAATCAAAAAGTGAATTTTGAGGTGGATCTCAGCAAAAACCAGCTTCGAACAGGTCTGGTCCTGGAAAAAGGAAAGAATAAAAAGTATCGGGAATCATCGAAGCAGAAGATATCGGGTATAAAAAAATGATTTTAGCATTTAAGGCAATGCAACGGGCAAGGATGCGACGGTGTCGAAGAGGAGGGGGACGAAGAAGAACAGAGGTTATTACGGGGGCCTTCTGTTAGGTCTTCGGGTGACATTTTCAGCGGAGAAGAATAAAGGAAAAAGGAGAGGGAGATCAGACTCGGGTGAGAGGGAGAGAAAGAAGAAACGTAGCAATGTACCTCTTCTTGAAGTGACGAGGAGAAGAGAAGGAGGTTCTGCAGGAGGTGGAAGAGGAACAACACGTGACCAATCACTTATATAAAGGTGGAGAACGACAGGGCGCAAACACACAGAGTTCTCTCTGCACGGTGGAGCCTGTGCTCGCAATAGTGACAGTAATTTTTTTTTTTTATTTAAATTTCGATCCCGAGAGAAGTAACTCGATCACACCACGCGGGAAGACACACACACGATCGTTACCATGAGGACGTACTACGTGATTGCCGCCATTCTGATCGCCGGTACGTACCCGAGATTAACGCGATTACGAGGATTGTAAAATCAGGGTGGATTGTAGAATCTGGGTGGAGATTGTACGGAACGGGGGATCAAAGTGTTACTCGAGGACTTATCGTTCTACCGGAAGTGGAGGACTATCTAGTGTGTGACATATGCGTGTGTATTCACTAAGGGAGTGAACTCTTCCAACGATTTTCACGATAGTCTTCGATTCCTTCCTAATTTACGTTCGATATGAACGGGATTATTGTGCCTTCTATATAGTTTCTCTATCATGGGTCTTTTGTGACTGTTCGAGAAGTCCCATATTGCATCGCTTCATAACTTCGATTTAGATTCACCGACAGCCATTTGTATTTCGAATCGTAGCAATTTTATGGAAGTGATCAGGTGATCTACATTTTCGAATTTTGTGGTTTATCAAACTTTTATTCAGAGGTAGTCGGTATTTGATGTTTCGTTAGAGGAATATCTGAGGGGATACTTATTGGCACACCTAATAATTACTCCACAGTAATCCACCTAATAGTTACAATAATTTATTTATTTATTAATCAGTCCACTACAATTCATTTAATAATTAGTCCATTATACTCCATTCAACAATTGGTCCACATAAAAAATCCTATAGTAATCAGTCTACAATAATTCATTTAATAATTAAATTACAGTGATCCATGAGATGAGTAGTCCATAATAATCCATTTAGCAAATTGATCCATAACAGTTCATTTAATAATTGGATCATAATAATCCATTAAATAATTACATCATAATAATTGTTCAGTTAACTACTGTACTATAATAATGCATTTAATAATTGGTTCATATTAATCCATTTAATAATTGATTTGTAATAATCCATTTAATAGTCAGTCCATAATAATTAATTTTAAAATTAGTCCAGAATAATTCATTTAATAAAATATCTATGATAAATCATTTAGTAAAAAGTCCATGATGAATCATTTAATAAAAAGTCTATGATAAATCAATTAATAAATAGTCCCTGATGAATCATTTAATAAAAAGTCTATGATAAGTCATTTAACAAATAGTCTATGATGAATCATTTAATAAAAAGTCTATGATAAATCATTCAATAAAGAGTCTGATGAATCATTTAATAAAAAGTCTATGATAAATCATTTAATAAAAAGTCTATGATAAATCATTTAATAAATAGTCCCTGATAAATCATTTAATAAATTTTCTATGATAAATCATTTAATAAATAGTCAATGGTAATTCACGTAATAGTCCAACCAAAATATAACAATAATTCGACATAAAGAAGTACCTCATTACAGAGTCCATATTAGAAAAGCAAGATTACAATACGATACAACGCATGAATAGCCAGGGAAAGGAAAACGAGTTCGCTGTGCGGTTAAACAGTATCCACAATACAAATCAATCACTCGTAACGCGACCAGAGTAAATTTGCACAAAAGCGATCCGGTATAAAGCATCTAGAAACTTCTCTGCGTGTTTCTCGGCCGTTCTTCGCGTCGACAAGCACCTTTCCCGAGTCTTTCCTGAAAGAAAAATCATCCGAACGATCTACCGGTGGAACGAGATCAAAAAGGCGTATTCGATTTCCGTGCGCGGAGAAACCTTCTCGTCACGCCATACTTTTTGCACGCCGACAGGATAACCTTGGCCCAGATCTTGACCCTTCTTTTTATCGCCATCGTCGTCGATTGCCGAAAAGGGGTCCGGCCACTTTTGGGACTCGAGCGAAAGTGAATAATAACGGAGACCAGGGTTCTCCGGCGCCGTATATACACGAGAGTACATACGTCGGCACATATGTACACGCGCGTGTACGCGTGTGGAGGAGAGCTAAGTGAACGGGATGCTGGGAGGGCCCAAGTCACGAAGCCGTGGCGGTTGGTAGCTTGGGCCTGGCTCTGGGCCCAAAGTGAAAGCGCCTGGCGAAAGTCACTTTGTGTCCCTTACATAAGACGTTTAGGTTATTCAGACATCATACTTTGTGCCCGGAGAAAAAATAAGAACAACTGATTATTAGGTGTAATTGGCGGCCGAGATGCCACGATATAAGGCCGGTATTAGCATCGGTAATAAAAGGAGTGTCGACGTCCTGCGTCTTTGTCTCGGATTCTACCCCCTCCTTCGGAACCACCTCCACTTCGGAATCGTGAACACGCATTGTGATGAGAAATTGAATGGCGGAGGATGTTTGCGGTCTGCAGTCACCTTATTGTTTAATTTTCTCGCGAAAGCAAGACCCAACCAACGGGAAAATTGAACCGCGATTACCGGCTATCTCTGACACCGATTAAAGTGCTGTTGTGCAGCCTCTGACCGCAGAACACATTTTTGACGATTGATCGAGGTTGGAAAATGTAGATGAGCTCTCGATGAGGTTTTGCACAATCTTTATTTGGGACATTTCGATTTGTACTTGCTGATGGTTATTCTTAGTAGGATTACGTTACTTTTACCTGACTGTAGTTTGCGAATTTTAGGAATTTGTAAACCCCGCTTTGAAATCCATTAGTTAGACAGGATCTCGATAATTTTGTTCTTATTACTTTTAATACTTCCTCTAGTTATGTAATGGTTACATTTATTTAGCAATTTTCTGTTGATTCATGATTCATAACTAATTTCGAATTCTTGATTTATTGTTTTTCTTTGCTGATCGAGTGCCTTGCAATTCCTTACTGCATGATTATTAATATTCAATTTGCCAATTTCTTTCTATAAATTACTTCCACTGTCATCCAAAATTAAATAAATATCTTCTTCATTTGTTCTCAGTCATCTCTTCGATTACATCACTCATATGTACATAAATATCCACATATATCTACGACTTTGAAAGACCATTATATAATAAATACTTTCACCAAATTCATTAAACATTGTCCAGTAAAAAAGACATAAACTAAAAATGTCTGACTAAAAATACTTTTTACAATTTCAACCTGACCATCCATTTACAATGTCATCCAAAGTGTTAATCCGCTATTAAAATCAAGATTGATGTGTTACCAATACAAAATGACCGAACAAAGTCGTTCCACGATCAAAAGAACATCGAAGTGCTTTCTCCATACACACCCAAAAAAACAGATTGAACTTACCTGAATGGAAACGAAACTTTCTTCGTCCTCCTTGTATTGGGTCAAAAAGTGCTGTCGTTCAAGGAGATATTCGATTACAAGTCTAACATACCTAGCCAGAACCTTATTATATAACATGTAACTTGTTTATCTAACGTGAAAGAAGAATTATTGATCTTGCTCTTCCAGTATATTTATCTTTACTTGTTGGATCAAAAGTTTCAAATAAAACATCATACCATATATATTTTAATCCTTGTCATATTTTAATGTCCTGTCATATTTTAATGTTCTGTCATATTTTAGCGTTCTGTCATATTTTAATATCTTACATTTAGAATAACCTGACATACGTTATATTTAGAAAACATGTTCTTTGAGAAAAATTTTCTTTTCTCACTTAACCTGTTAATTACCAATGTCCACAGGCGCGACCGCCCAAGAATCCTTCAAATGTCCCGACGACTTTGGCTTCTACCCCCATCACATATCCTGCGACAAATACTGGAAATGCGACAACAACGTCGCGGAGCTGAAGACGTGCGGCAACGGTCTCGCTTTCGACGCATCCGACAGCAAGTTCCTCACCGAGAACTGCGACTACCTCCACAACGTGGACTGCGGCGACAGGTCACAATTGGAACCAGCCATCAGCACGCCGCATTGTCCGCGTCTGTACGGTATTTTCCCCGATGAGAAGAAATGCGACGTCTTCTGGAACTGCTGGAACGGTGAGGCCTCCAGGTATCAGTGCAGCCCTGGACTTGCTTACGACCGGGAAGCTAGAGTCTGCATGTGGGCTGATCAAGTACCTGAATGCAAAAATGAAGGTTCGTATGAGCAAGGGTATTTTTGAGGAAAATTTTAGGAGGGCGGGAAGGAGAGAGAGGGAAGGAGAGAGAAGGAGATTACTCGTTGATTGTTGGGGGTGTTATAATTTGGGGACTAAGTTAGGTTTGGGGGGTCGCGAGAGTTAGGGATGTTGGGATTTGGAGAGTCATGGATGTGGGAGTTTAGGGATTTGGGGATGTGGGGATTGGGGGGCTTAGGGATTTGGAAATTTGTGGAATTGGTTATCATGGGATTTGGGG